TGGAGTGATGGGAGATATCAAAGAATTAATTTTTGAAGACATAAAGGGAAGTAATTTCTCTGAAGGAAGTGAGACTTATATAAACAGACAAATGTGGATACAAAGGGAACTCATCAACCCAATTAGTTTAAAAAAAAAAAAAGAAATGTATAGAAGATGCAAGCATGACCAGGTAATAGAGGATCAATGTAAAATCATTTCACAATCTGAAGAAAAAATGTGCAGAAGTGCTAAAGATCAGAATGAGCTAATGCTGGTATGAAAAGCTAACAAAAAAGATGTGGTGTTAACCGTATGGGGAGAAAAGGAAAGATCAAAGAAGGAATGGGATCTTTGCTTAGAGTGGAATGAATGATGATGAGTAATAACAAACATTGGCAGAGTTGGCCAATTCTTATTTTGCCCCAGTTTTCTCTGCCAATGAAATGATCCTTTTTTTTTTGCTGGAAATGACCAAATAAAAACAAATAATAAAGAGAGAATATTCAAGATACGTAAAGAGATAATAGAGAAAACCTAGTTGCCTCTGATAAATTCGAGTCACCTAGAGAGAAGGTTCTATATATTCCTGTGTCATCAAGACTTGGCAGTAGTGAGTATTGAGTGTTATGAATGTCGAGCCACCAATATTTGGAAGATCATTGAATCAAGAGAGGCACCCCAAGATTAGGGAAATGCAAATGCCCCAATTTTCAAAATAGGAAAGAACAGAATCTTTAAATTATAGACAAGTGAGTTTAATTTTTGCTTTATTTGGCCTCATGGCTCAGGTTAAAGCAAACACATGGGCTTGGGAATTGGGAAATTAATATTCAGGAAGCTGATACAAACTGAAACCTTATTATTTGGTGCAACAAGCAGGCAAACAAAAGTACACATATACACACACGCGCACATACACACACACACACACACACACACACACACACACACAAGAGAAACAGAGGTTTATCACCAGGGATGCAAGAAATTTACCCAGCACAAGGGGGAAGGCGACATGTCAGGGAGGAAATTTGCTCAAAATTGAAGTTCAGGTAGAGAAATTATAGTGTCTTAAAAAGGATTTGGTTGAGAACAAGTAATCGGTGCCATCTGCAGAACGTGGCATTCCTAATCAGACACAATTGTGGTGGAAAAGTTCTTGGGCTCTCTTATCAATATCAGGCTTGGGTGAAGCTTGGTTAGAGGAAGTTTCTTTATCAGAACGACAAACTGAGTTACTTATGTAAGGCAGCAGGAGAGAGGAGCATCTCAAAAACTTGCCCCAAGTCAAGCATTTCATCCAATCAAAAGCTGCAAGCCTTATCTGCCTGATACAGAACTAACATGGGTCAGAACAATAAAAATAAATTTTTTCTGTCTTTGCCTATATATTTTATGGGCATTAAGACCACTTAGCCTATGTGACTCCATTTTGAACTTGATCATAACTATACCATCAAACCACATAAAGTTTACAATTATCACAACTTTGATAACAGAAAAATTCTACAACAGATCTGTAACTATAGAAATACCTTCTGGCTATAGTAGTGATAGACAAACCCCATTGTATAGGGGCCACACATCTCTCACCTAGGTATATAGATACCAACACTCTCTGGATTTGTTCATTCACTTCAACTTGCCCTTACTCTGGCAGATCTAAATTCCCACTTGTAGACCACCAATACATGGTTATATTCAAACTTTCTCACACTCCTAGGAGTAACCCTATTGAAGGGGAATGCTGTCCCCCACCCCACTTGACACACTAGTTCTTAAGTTCCTGTCAATGCATTTTCCATTCACATAAGCCACTTACAATGTAACATACCCACACAGGGTATGAGAAATACATAATCAGCCACTCACAACACATTTTTTAAATCTTAAACATAACCATTTTATCAGCAAAGCAAGTAAATAATATCATACTCACATGTTAAGGCAAATTCATAAATTATAAAACATATCACAATCCACAAGGTCACACTCTCTTTCCAATGTGTCAATATCCTTCGTGAGGATTGGGCACTACAGGAAACAGCTCACTGCTTGACTGTTGGTCTTCACCACTCCAGCTGGGCAAATCCTCTTATCTTCTCTACTCAAACACAGCATTTACAAGCTCTTTCAATTTACAAACCTTAAAAAGGTTTTTAGAAAGTGCTGCCTCTTAATGTGAATAACAGTTCTCTTAAGTTAGAAAACTGCAGAGGTCATCAAACTGACTATCTCTGGGCTATGCCGACCAGCAACTAGTTATTAACTTATCTGGATTCTGCATCATCCGTTGAGAATTGAGCTCCCAGCAACATAGCTCAGACTGACTAAGACAGGCAACAACAGGATGCAAAGCAGCTGCAAAACGCTCTATGTTTTTTCTTTTGCTGCTAAAGGTGGCAGCAGAGAGCAAGGGCTGGTAAAGCTTGGCTAATTAATTCAATCATGCCACCAATCAGGAACCACTTAGCTGAAGCCCTCTGTAAACTGACCATTTCTAACTAAAATTGCAGCTTTTTCACACCTTCACCCATCCTATACCCTTTGTTTACACTTCTAGTCAGGTTTTTCTCTCAGGTTACTATATCTAGTCCCTATACTTATAATGACTTAATAGAAGACCTCATTCTCAGTGACTCAACTTTCACTTAAAATTTACAACTCCCCAAATTTTCCCTAGCAACTTGATAGTCCTTTTTAATTTATACCTGTCTCCAAATGTTTATATGAATTTTCATTTATTTTCATTTTATCTTCTTTAGTCATTAAACAATTATATGCAAATGAGCCAAGGTACCATAATCCCTTGCAGTTCTAAACTCTTCAATGCTGTCCAGCATCTCCTTTAGTATCCTTGAAACTGAATTTATTTATTCTCTTCCTCCAGTTTTTTATAAATAAATTCTTTCTCTACCTCTTTGAAAGTCAAAGCGTTCAAAACACAAGCAGAGTATCATTCTATATTGTTCTCGCGGTGAAGTATTTATATTGACATAGTTCATTTTCTATCTAAGACTATTCAAACCCCATCTGAAAACTGCTTCTTCATACACATATATTGAAAGTTTTTTATTTTTATTTTATTTGATACCTACACCTTTTCAGTATCAAAATGTTCATCTATAACCACAATATCTTAATCCTTTGACAAGCCATATAAATCTTTTCCTTTACACAAAAATATTTGCTCTGTCCCTTTCAGCACTAAACTGCTCCATTTATCTTAAAGGGATAGTGAACCTTACAGACCATTTAAAAGATGGTTGTTGAACTAGAAAAGGGGGAAAAAATGATTACAAAGAGAAGCATGGGTTAACTGCTATGGGGTCATCAAGAACAGACTGTGCTAGACTAACCCACTTTCTGACATGATTACTCAAGGAAAATGCTGTAGATAGATAGATAGATAGATAGATAGATAGATAGATAGATAGATAGATAAATGATAGATACTTTATCAATGATTTTTATAAAATATCTCAGTATTTATTTGGAGAAGATGGAGAGATATTAGATAGACAATAAATTAAATAGATTCAGAACTGCTTGAATGACTGATGTCAAGGAGTAGTAATTACTAATTCAATGTCATCCAAAGAGGTCTCCAGTAGAATGTGCTTGGACTTTATTTATTAAACCTCTTTATCAATGTCTTAGATCAGGAGTTGGCAAACTATGGCCAGGCACTCCACCAATGTTTATATGGCCCCCTCTCTCTAGCTAACAATCATTTTTACATTTTAATACAAAGAATTACTGCATTTTAAAATATTAAAAACCATTCTTAGCTCAATGGCTATACAAAAACAGGCCACTGACTGAATTTGGTCCTTGAACCATAGTCTGCCTGACCCCTGCCTTAGATCAAGTCATATGTGGCATTTTCAGCAAGTTTGTATATAACATCAAACTAAGAGGGATAGTTAACACATTGGACAACAAAGTCAATCAGATCTAGAAAGATAGTGACATGCCAGAAAAAGGAGGTTGAATTTTTTGTTTTTGTTTTTGAGACTGGGTCTCCCTATTTCACCTGGGCTAGAAGTACATCAGACACAAGCCTCATCCTATCACTGCTCATCACTGAAGCTCTGACTTACTCCATTTCCTAGTCCAGTTCACCCTTCTTGGTTGGTTTGTTTGTTTGTTTTTGCTTTTTGATGACGCAAGTGGGGTTGACTTGCCCAGGGTCCCAGGACTAGTAAGTGTCATGTGTATGAGACTGGATTTGAACTCGTGTCCTCCTGACTTCATCCATTATGCCACCTAGCTGCCCCCCAGTTCACCCTTCTTTAGGCAGCCTCGTATTACTTGCTTTCCCAGGGACTCAACCTATTAGTGCTAGACTTAGTACTAGACAAATACCCAAATAAATCTGATAAGCTTTAACCCAGTGCACCTCAGAACTCCAGAGCTCAGGCAATCCATCAGCCTCAGCCTCCTCAGGAACAAGGATTACAGGCACATACCACCAATCCTGGCAGGGCTGAATCTTGACAAAATGAAATTCAGTAGGGATGGTGATAGCATTTATATAATACTTACTATGTACCAAGCATTTTGCTAAGCACTTTATAAATATCATGTCATTTGATTAACAACCCTGTGAAGTAGGTACTGTCATCATCCCCACTTTACAGTTAAGGAAACTGAGGCAAACTGGTTAAGTGACTAGCCCAAGGTCCATAGGTAGTAAGTGTGTGAGGATTTGAACTCAAGTCTTCCTGACTCCAAGGCCAGTGTACTATTTACTCTGTCATCTAGTATAAATATCAAGTTATACCTGAGTGCAAAAAAAAAATCAATTTAGAAAGGACAAGCTCAGAAAGCCATGATTAGACTAAAATTCGAAAAATATTTGGGACTTTAGTAGACTATAAGATCAATATGGCAGCCAAAAATAAAAGCTAATGAGAATTTAGGCTGAATTAAGAGAAGTATAGCTTCCAAGAATAAGGAAATGATAGTTCCACCATACTTGCCCTCATTAATCCCATCTGGAGTATTGTGTTCAGTTGCAGGCACCTCAGTTTAAAAAGGCCATTTATAAGTTGTAGAATATCCAGCGGATGGAAACCAGCATGGTGAAGAGGTTTGAGTCTATGCCATTTGAGGATCAATTGAAGGAAGCGGATATATGTAAGCAAGAGGAGAGAGAACGGAATGTAAGTATGATAGCGGTCTTCAGATATTTGAAGAGCTATCTCATGAAAAAGCGATGAACTTTATTCTTTTTTTTTTTTGCCCCAAAGAACAGAATCAAGAGCAAAAAGTAGAAATTGTAAAGAGGAAATATTTGATATTGGTGTCAGGAAAACATTCCTACCTATTGGAGGTGTCCAAAAAATTGGAATTGGATGCTTCAGAAAGTGGATTTCTCATCCTTAGCACTCTTCAAGCAGAGGCTGGTGAACCACTCATCAGCTATATTACATTATGGATTACTTTTGTGTATGGGTTGGACTAAATGACCTCTGAGGCCCCTTCTAACTCTCAAAAGGCAAAATTCTTTGATTCTTTTATAATAATCTATGAAACAGACTTGGAATTCTATAATGTGAACCAATTATGGCTTCTTGTTGGAGTCAAGTGATAGAAAGTGAGAGAAAACAGATGAATGGTCCTTCAAATTAAAAACAAGCAAACAAGAGATGATGCACAATGAGGCACCTAGGACTGGTTCCAAGCCAAACAAATCATCACTGAAAGCAACAAAAGCTATATCCAAGGCCATCACATGAAATCAACTCACAGAAACATAAGCTACCACAGAGATAAATGTCCTCATTTGTAAAATGGGAAAATGTAAAATGAGGGGAAAAAACCTCACCTACCTCATAGAGTCGGTATAAGGATCAAATGAGATAATGTATGGGAAGGGTCTTGTGCACCTTAAATTGCTATATAAATATAAGTTGCCACTGCTGCTAGAATGCTCTGCCTTCCATAAAATTTTTGTAAAATTCAGAAACCAGCAGACTTACTGCTAACCAGTGACCAATGCAGTGGACAGAGGTGTGGGATTGGATGGAGAAGAACTATTTTGTCAAAGGATAGGAAAGAAAATCTAGGGCACACAATTTGGCAAGGTTCTGAGAAGAAGTGTTATGTTTGGAACAAAGAATAGAAAAGGCGGTCATGAGTCAAAAGTACAAAGATGACATGGGAATATGGTTGTGAAATGGGGTGGGGTAAAGACTCTGAGAAAATTGGCTACTCCTGGGCAGAAGGCAGGAAATTGGGCTGAAAATTACTGGAAAAGTTTTCATTTAAACTGTCATTTGGGGTGTGTGATAGCATTCATTAAAGCTTGTGGAATTAATTACTTAATATGTGAGACTTGGTAGTGATTTTTCCCAAAAAACAAATATCCATAAGTCTTACCAAGGGACATTTTTATATTAAACTATTTCACAATGGCTTTAAGGAAGGCTAAGAGTGAGGCTGAAATAGAACAAGAAAGGAGGGCCAAGTTGATGCATGAAGAGGCAAAATTGTGTTGGAAAAGAACATTTTTCACATCATTAATCACTGAAAATGTGTCAGCAAGCACATGGCCATATGTAATTGGCAATAATACCACTGAAATAGATGCTTTAAGTAAGAAAGGCATTATTACTGAGCCCAAACATTTGTTGGACTGCCTCATATGAATGAAAATGCATTGAATTCAAAATTAAATTATACTGATCCAAAGAATATTTGTAAATTGGTCTTCATTTTTCTAATCAATTAATCGACAAGGATTTATTAAGCATTTTCTATGTGTCAGGAAAATACTGTGCTAGACACTGGACATATAAAGAAAAAATGTGAACAGTCTTTTCCCTTAAGGAGCTTACAATCTAGATGGAGGAGACATGTACATATATAGCTACATACATATAATAGGCAAAAGATGATGGGTGTAGGGACACTAGCAGCTGGAAGGATCAGAAGACTTCCTATCAGAAGAGAATCAGATGATACACAAGCTGAACCTTCCAGGAAATCTGGGATTCTGAGTAATTAGAATGAATTCCAGACATGAGAGATGGCATGTGCAAAGGCTCAGAAGTGGGAGACAAAAACAGCAAGAGTGCCAGTCTGACTAGACTGCGGTATGAGTAGGAGAGAACAAAGTACAGTAAGGTTGGGAAAGCAGGAGGAGGCCAAGTTGGGAAGGGATTTAAATGCTAAACAGAAGAGTTTGTATTTGATTCTCAAGGTGATATAGCAACTCACTGGAATTGGTTTGGGGAAAGGGATGATGTGGTATACCTTGTGCTTTAGTGAAACCAGTTTGGCAGCTGCATAAAGGATGAATTGAAGAAGGGAAAAATAAGACAGGGTCATCAATAATGAGGTTATTGAAATAATCCAAGTGAAAGATAATCAAGACTTGAAAGATGGTGGTGATTGTGAATGAAGAGACAGAGATGATTGAGAGAGGTGTTGTAGAGGTAGAAATGACAAGATTTGGCACCTGAAGGGATATGTGAGGTAAGTGAGTGAGATTATAGCATCATAGCCCTAGAGATAGAAGGGACATTAAAGGCCTTCTAGTTCAACCCCTTCCTTTTACAGATGAGGTGACTGAAGCTCAGGGGCAACAAGTAAGAGTAAGCATCATGGAATTTGAGCCCACATCTTCTGACTCAAGACTCCCTACCCTGTATGGCTGAGATCCCTTCCAACTCTGAAAAGCTATGACTCTGATTCTCAGATGAAATAATATTTATGAAAAAATAATATCTTTATGTTGGCTTAAAACAATAACACATACAACATATATTGCATCAAAGGAAAGGGTTGATATCACGTTGATATTGTTCTTTAGCCTCTTTCCAAGTTAATTTGGGCCATTCTTTACATGTTTTGAATGTGCTTACAGAGCACATGGTTCTCCCCTTTTCATCACAGGTACATATCTGCCTCCTACAGTAGCCTTCCCAGATGTACCCTACCATTTTAACCCACAAATCCATCTCTCCTTATTGTTTCTTTTCAGTAATTTTGTGAATGTGTATTATTGTTTAAATCTGTCAACCTCTTAGACAAAAAAAAAAAACAATACTTGCAGATAGAGATTTTTTTTAATTATTTTACTGAGTCTAATATAATGGCCTGTTTCCACATTCCTAAAATCTTTGAAGCTGAGACTACATAGAGTTTAGCTTAGTCCATCTGGAGAACTGATCCTGTTCCTAGATAGAGGGAATAGTCATAAAACCTCACAAGAAGCATTACAGTAGGACTTTAGTGAGGAACTTGAACCCTTAGTAATAAAGAACTTTCACATTATATACTATGGTTTGCAAAGTACTTTACATATATTTATTTCATTTGATCCTAACAACCTGAGATAAATATTTTAATCCTCACTTTTTTCCAAGTGAGTAAACTGAGGCTCAGAGAGATTATCAGGGGTGGTGAACCTGTGGCTATAAGGCCACATGTGGCCCTCTAGGTCCTCAAGTGTGACCTTTTGACTTGGGCAGACTTGGATTCAGTCAAAGGGCTGCACTTGAAGACCTAGAGGTCCGCATGTGGCCTTGAGGCCACAACCTCCCCACCCTCGGATTAAATGATTTGTCCAGGTCCTCACAGCTAATAATTTTCTGGTATGGGATTTGAATCCAGGCAGCATTCTATGCAATATCAATCAATCAATCAGCAAATACTAATTAGGCATCTATCATCTGTAAGTTTCTACACTTAGTGCTAGAGATACAAAGACAAAAAGAAAACATTCCTTCTAGTCAAGAAGCTTATGTTCTTTTGAGGAAGACAACTGAACCTACTCCTGTCATGCAAGGTAATGTTTGAAATGGGCTTTAATGAAAATAGGACTTCTATGAGGCAGAGGTGGAGATGGAGAAAATTGCAGGCATGGGAAACAGTTTACACAAAGGCAAAGAGATGGGACATGGAATGATGTGTGTGTGGAGTAGTGAGAAAGCCAGTATGGCTGTCTAGTTGAAACTATAAAGAGTAATATATGATAAATATGAAAACACAGCCAGGCTGTGAAGTGCATGCACAACATGACATTCTTCTCTGTTGCATCCATGTTATTTGGTCTTGGGGAGCAACCTACCTTATAAAAAGTTCCATCTGCTACTTCAGCAACTGATTCCCAATAAATAAGGTCTGAAAGGGTTTAAAATACACTCTCCTTTTACTGAATTGCAATCTCTAGTAAATATTGTTTTCATAAGGGCCTAATGTATAAGATTTAAACTAAACATTCTTGTTTAAGTCAAGTATGTTTCATGGAATGATATATGAAGATGGTGAACTTAGAATTACCATATTTACCTCAGATGATAACCTAAAAACATTTTGACACACATCAAACCAGGTGATTATGAGGTGAAAATATATGTCCTGGAATGATTTGGTCCAGAAAATATATAACTGAGAATCCCTGCCTTGATGTATTTGAGTAAGGAGTTCTGTCAGCCTCCTAGTGGGGAAAGAGGCCTCAGCTCTTAACTACCTAACCAAAATGCCTCTGTGTGGACCATGGCCACATGACCCTGGTGTTGTTTCTTTTTCCATCATGTCTGTTCTTTCCTGCTCTTAGGTGAAATAGACCAGGGTGGGGAACCTGTGACTTTGTGGCCCCATATGGCCCTGTAGGTCCTCAAGTGTGGCCCTTCGACTGAATCCAAACTTCACAGGCCTCGAAGCCACAGGCTCTCCACCTCTGGACTAGACTGATATTACTTGTGAGCCTGGAAAGGTTAGAAGAGTGAATGGCCAAAGATCTGCGAGTTCTTGCCAGATATTGCCAGATACAAAACAACCTGCTTGAACAAGAATAGAAGTGGATGGAAATCTAAGCAAACTATTTTCTCTCTCTTTTTTCTTTCTCACGGTCTTCCCCTTTTGTTCATCTTTCACAACATGACCAATGTGGAGATATGTTTAATATGATTGTACATGTATAGCCTATATCAGATTGCATGCTGTCTTGAGGAAGGGGGAGAAAAGGGAGGAGGGAAACAATTTGGAACTCAAAATATTATAAAAGTGAATGCTGAAAACTAAAAATACATACGTACTAGAAATGGATGGAAGCCACCCAAAAGGAAATGATAGCAAATAATCCACTAGCTATGCAAAATTCAGAAGTAAACTTAGTGGAGAGCATGCTTTATAGAAATAATTCTGAGTTTGA